TTGGCGGAGTTCCACTTTTTGGTTGAAATGAGAATAAAAGCAGACAGCAGCTTCATTTTTAATTTCAAGAAACACAGTATTTTTTAACAGTTAAGCAGCATTATAGTTGACTAACAAGCCAAAATATATATTTTCAATGCCTTATTAAAAGCCCTTGCATTTAACAGTGTGAATGCTGAGATTTACGAACCTCTGTGAGCCAACACTGCTCCTTCAATCCTCAAAAGTAATTATAAAACAAGCAATTTGAGCCACAAGCAGCAGAAACTGTCGAGCTTGGGTTTTTTTCCCCATCCTCACAACACATCCCAGCCTAACTCCAGCTTCCTCCTGCCTTCCCAGAGACATCCAGATGGACAGGCCGGAGTGACCAACCAACACCCCCCTGGTGACTGGGAACCCAGATCACACCAAACACAAGGAGCAAGACTTGAGCTTGCCTTGCATTTTTCTGCAGTGAAGGCCCAGCTGGCAGTGCCAACACAAGCTTTTCATATGCCAGGTCTCTACACCGAGAGCCTGGGGAGGCAAAAGCCACAGGCATTTAGAGCCCCCCTGGAAATCCCCCTGGGATGGAGCCAGGAAGGCAACTTGTGGCTACACCCAGCAAACAGACTTGGCACAATGAGAAAAAAGGTGAGGTTTTTTTTAAGGGCTGAGACATTTTTTTTTTTTATGTTTTCTCTGTTCACTTTGCAAAATACATGTAAAAAGCTTTTTGTGCGTCATGTAAAATTAATTAATTAAAAGTCTGTTACCTCACGCAGAAGCAAAGCTACTGCAGATATGTAAGTTCCCAGAAAAACAACTGGCTTCCAGCACTGGAGGTATCATCTCCAAAAACATCTTGTACAGGAAAAAATGACTAAGCAAATAACAACAAGTCTTAGCCACGACACAAAATAGGCTGCTGACTAAATGGATGCCACCAGAAATCACACACAATAAGGCAACACAAGACAATAGGGGCAGCTGCCTAAACTAAACTCTGAAGTCCTTCAGACAAAATGTCTGAAATACCAATTCACCTTGGTATGAGACGACAGACTCCCTGAAGAACAGTTTTATATCAAAATCTGGGCCTGGCTCAATCTGTAAGGACTTCTTTGTATAGCAGAAGTGAATAAATCCTTTTCCCCAGAGGGAAAATTCCCATTTTGCCAGAACGGGTAGGATGAGAGGCAAACATTTGTACAGTACTGCATTGCTGCTAAATTGCAACTGTGTTAATAATTTAATGCCTTAATGAATATTAGGAAACAGAATTACAACTGACCAAATGTGTACATTTCAAATGTGACATTTATTTCCTTTAAATTTGTTCTGTGCATAGATAACTGCTTCGATTTTTCCCTGAAACTAAATCTTGTGAAAACTGACATTATCCAAAAATTATGTTGTGGTATGCAACAAATCTGAATTGTCATCAGTTTCTTTTATGCTAATGATAAATCAATGTAAAAAGTTTGGTTTGGCTGTATATATTCTTGAGCATTAAAGATAACAAGGAAGATTCCAGGCAGAACACTAGCTATGGGAAGCACAAATTCCTGACATACTTGCAAGTTGATAATTTTCCCTTTTCTTTACTCCTCTGTCTGTTATTAATAAGATAAAGTGTTCAGCCACCAGTCTTCATTTTTATTTTACAGCGATGATTTTTTCACCAGTAATAGATTCATTAAGGGTGAGTAAAGTGCAAGCCACCAACTGGTTAGGCAGCTCTCCTTCTGAAAAGGACCTGGACAGTATAAGGGATCACAATTTTTTTATAAGTCAACAGTGCCACGCTATTGTGAAAAAGATTGTGAAAAGCAGAAGTAAATAGATGGCAAGGCATGTCATGTAATAAACTCCACATGGTATTGGCACCATCTTATCCGAGTATCATGCTCACCTTGGACCACTGCCAATCAAGAAAGGCCCAAAACAGCTGGAGATAGGCCAGAGGAAATAAGGAATGATAGAAAATTTGGAAAATGTGAGCACTAAGGAACCACTGGAAAAAATAGCAGTAATTTAACCTGAGGAAGGAAAGGCCAAGGAAAGATATGATAGCAGCTTTCCATTAAGTTAAAGAAGAAAGGAATAATCTGCTGTCTGTGCCTATAGGACTGGACAAGAATTAATGCCTTTGTGGTAAGAACATTTCTACATAGAAAGCAAATGTTTCTTACACTGAGCAAATTGCAGCATTAGAATGGATTGCTGCTTTCTCAGTGAAACTCAGATACATAAACATCTGCCAGGAATGGCAAAACTAGGGTATTTTGCTTCTCAACAACGGAGTGGGCTAAAAAGAAATCCCAGTCCCCATTTCATTTCTATTCTTTATGATTTTTTGAAAGGAAGACACTTCAAAACACCAGGCTCGATATTGGTTTTCAGACTGCATAAAACACAGCTCTCAGTCTCAAACAAATTCATACTTTTCAACACTTTTTAATACAATAATGATAGCCATTACCAAAATGAAACCATTAAATAGCATTTCTTCTGTATGTGATAATATTTTTCCTGATTTCTACAAGCTTAGTAATGTTTTTCTATTCTGAAGGGTATTCACTTCCATTTCTACAATATAAAATCATAGTCATTGAAAAATAGGTCTAGAAGGGAATGTTCAGTTCTATCAACCAGATCTGTCAAGAAAATAGGAATGCAGCCAAAGAAAGGAAAGCCACTTATGGAATCACATTTAACACAACTTCTATTTTAGAATCATAGAATGGTTTGGGTTGGAAGGGACCTTAAAGATCATCTCATTCCAATCCCCCTACAACGGGCAGTGACACCTTCCGCTACCCCAGGTTGCTCCAAGCCCCATCCAGCCTGGCCTTGAACACTTCCAGGGACAGGGCATCCACAGCTTCTCTGGGCAACCCGTGCCAATGTCTGCCCCCTCACTGTAAACAATTTCTTCCTTACAGGCCATCTCAGTCTTCCCTCTCTCAGTTCAAAAGCACTGCTCCTCATCCTGTCCCCACAGGCCTTGGTAAAGCATCTTTATCTTTCTTAGAGGCCCCCTTCCCATGCTGAGAGGCCACAACAAGGTCTCCCCAGAGCCTTCTCCTCTCCAGGCTGAACAGCCCCAGCTCTCCCTGCCTGTCTCCACAGCAGAGGTGCTCCAGCCCTCAGAGCATCCTTGTGGCCTCCTCTGGACTCCTGAGGTCCACGTATTTCTTGCAGTGGGGACCCCAGAGCTGGGTGCAATGCTCCAGGTGGGACCAGTTTTATAATCTGTCCTTTGAAAAAGGCAATTGCAATAGGATATTACCATTTTAAGGTGGTACTCAAAGAGCATCAATGCAGTCCTTACAAATGCTGCATACCGTTGTTTGGATAACAGGAGGGGATAGATTTTTACATTAATAACAATTTCATAAATTATCCAATAATCAGTTAATTTGCTTTGACCAGTAAAAGTACTCTAAGCAATTACTTGGCTGACATATAACAAAAGATAAAGTGAATTTACATATGAAGTGTACACAATATTACTCCCATTCTTGCTAATACATCATCATCACAAGAAAGTAAATGAAGGTATTCATTTCATTCATATTTGTATTTTGGAAGTGTGTGAATATGCAAAGCAACATCAGAGCCTCATCATGCTACAACGTAAATAAACAGAGTATTTCAAAAGCACCTGCCTCTATCACATGCTATTATTGTCAGAGTATACAAAATATGAATGTTACCTTTGAACTGATTAAATGTTTCCACGGAAAAATGTAATTAATTCCATTGTTCAAAAACTGGAATTAAACCATCATGCAAGGATTCACATTACTTCACAAATAATTTGATGGTTGCTACTGATCCTTTTCATTGCAGAGCAGCTTAGCACAGTAAATTTCTCAGCTTGGCCAACTGATTCATTCCATAAGCCATTTCCTGATACAAAATGCAAAATATCATATAGCTATTATGAAATAGCACCCAAAGTATTTTTAAAAACACATATTATTGTCTGAACCTCCAGAGACACACCCTAAAAAGAAGATACTCATTATTATTCACTGCATCATTTGCACTTTTTTTACATAATATAATCACAGGATTTAAATAACTCAATTTAATATTTATCCAGGAACTGGCAGCCAGTGTTCTACCCTGAGGGACGTAACTCTTCATAAAAAGCTCATTTTACGAGACACTGTAGCAGTTTTGGCATTACCAACACCTCTCACATAAACCATGCTGAAAACTATAGTTTATCCTGCCAAATGCCTTCTGTACATATGGTGTTTAACAGTGTTCTGTAGGTCTGAAAGCCACTAATAATAGATCTAAGCTAAAAATCTGGAAGCACACATGTATGTAACACAAAAATGTATACAATGCTACATATTCATATATATATTTACCTACATACCCCACATGCATATAAACATACGTGATTACAACTATTCTTTAAATCATTACGCTAACTATAACTCTTGTAAAAAATAATTTCTCTTTCAGTTTCCTGTAGCTTCCTAAATTTTAATTCTCCTTCTATTGACATCAGAGGCAGAACTTCCATTAACCTCAGCACTACAGAATCAGGCCACAAGAAACACAAAGAAATACATTTAAAGACAGTATCTACACATTTGTAAAATCTCCTCACTATGCAAGGATGGTCTTGGCACTTTATGATGTTAACTGCCCTACTAAACTTCTAAATTAAATTTTAAAATAGCACATTTTAAATACATCTTAGATTAGTGGTCTATAAATACTGGATATAACAACAGAATGTATCTAGATGTGGTTAAAGATGGACCTGCTGAAACGTTCATTGTAGGTTAGCAGCAAACTTCACTACCATTTGACATTTGAACAGTCTGCTTTTATGTCATTGACTGAAGTGAACCAGATAACTTTGTTAAGTAGTATTTAATGTAACTCTTCCTCAGAATTCAGACACTTTACACAAAGATGAGTGATAGAGTTAAAAGGGTTAATACATTGACAACTAGGTAACAGAAAATAATGCTGAGAATACTTACCACTTTCAAAACAGGCATCAAATATAAGATGTCCTTTTTTAGGCTGTCCAGAATAAGCAGCTGGGAGAACAATGTACTTGCTCACGTTCCCTGCTATGATATCGTCACTTCCCGTGGCACTGCCTGTCACAGTAGAAGTGGAAAAAAAATAGTCATAAGCATAAACCAAAAAATACATATCTAAAAACCAGTAGAAGGCTGTTACCCCACGTATTTCTACAGAGCATAAAATTTGCACCATTTAACACATGCACCAGTAAATGAACTCTTTTCTTTTCAAAGCCTATTTAAGAATTTGGATATAATAATGGCATCATATGTTAAAGTCCCCCTAAGTAACTACCCACACAGCCTGGCTTCTTGCCCAGGTATGACCTGTGGCTGAACACTCTCTATGCAATACTCTGATATTCAGCTGGAGCCACTTCTTTTGGTGGGAGCTCTCTAGTACCTAAATCCTGCACGGATTCCCTGGAACTGAACTCCTCACCAGCTTCTTATTTTATTACAATCCTCACAAGCATCTTCCCAGCTATCAGCATTAATGGGATCTTTTTCCTCCATCCTGCTGCCTATTTTTATGCATCTTAAATGAACTTAGAACCTTTGAGACTGTTCAATCCAACTCATACTTGAAATTTTAGAATTATTAGAAGGAAGAGACATTCACCCACGGAGGCATGTGAATATCTGCGCCTCGCTTGCTTAGGACACAAAACTCACAGAAAGAACTTAAATAAAGAAATTTTTTTAAATGTGAAGTTTATTTTATGATAAAATATATAAGGACACAAATGTTCTATACAATGGCATGATTTTTGTCAAAATATATCAGTAGAATATACATCGAAAGCTTTGTCCTTTACAGGAAAATTATACTAACAAATTGCAGTCTGCAAAAAAATTTATTTCCAAAAAGGGATGGATGAACACTAATTGTTTTTTCATTTGAGAAATGTACAAGAAAGTTAATAACTGTATATTATATTATGCATTTATAGTGAAAGAAATACATGCTAATATAATTACCTGTTCATTCCTCTGATATTGGCTCAGCATTTTCTTCACCATTTACTGTTTGGACAAATATTTTACAACAGAAAAACTATTTTCAGTGTTACAGAAAAGTAGAAGAAATGCATATGTCTTCAAGTGCAGAAGGCATGTGATGGGATAATGGGATGATAATATCTTATTTCACTCTGATAAATAGGGCTACTAAGGCTTCTAGAAATAGACTTTTGGTCTGTAGTGATTTTTTTGACATTTAAATGGGTTATGGGGGATGATAAATGTGACATAAAGCTCAATTTGTTTTATTTTTATATTGAAAACTATTTCACACAAATGTTACAAGCAATTCATATTGGCCCTGAATGATGAAAACAGCTTATTAATTAAAACTGACCTTTCCATATATAAAAGTATTCCACCTCTTGAGGCAAAACACCTTAGCTGAAGTAACAAATTATATCAATGTATTAGTGACACCACAGTTAAAGGGTCTGTCAGGCTTTCTATTATATATATTCACAGGTATATAAATCCCAGATTAAAAAATATGTATATCCAGGTCAACATTCAGCATATAAATCCCCAGTCTTCCCAGGGAAGAAATTTGAAACTCATTCTCTTTGAGAATTAGTACAACAGAACAAAGAGAATTTAGACCATTTCTTAATTTATCATAATACAAAAATGTAGACATTAAATAATGCATGCTATTATTTTTTAAGCAAAATTATTATTTGCAACCTCTAGGTTATTTGTTTTAGACTGAATAATTACCCACAGACAGCAATCTGCGGCATGTAAATTGGTTTCTTTAAATGTATAATTGCTACTTATGGTATTTTTAGCTGGATGTTTTTTAGCAGAATCCTGATACAAATTGCTTAAAGCCTGGTAACACCAGAGGCAAACTTAGACCTGGGTGGGGCATCTGTGTATCTGCACGGCCATGATCCTGTCACTTGACAAAATTCATCCCTCTGCATCATGAGACCTGTAGTTCAGAGGAGCAGCCAGAGGAAACCCATTTCCTCAGTTTCACTCGAGTGCCACTTTGATTAAGAGCCCCCATATACCCGTCGCAGTTAAGATCAGTCAGGTTGTTTGCAATCCAGCACATAGAATCAACAAAGAAAAATTAATGGAAAACCTGCTGATTTCCACCAAGAGTGCCTGAGCTGCCAGGGACCAAAGGGAAAGAATGGGAGGCAGGGAGTCATCTGAGCAGAGCAGTTAGAAGACTGAACTCCTCCTGGTAAATATTCCCTTCTACATCTCAGCTAAAAGTAATTGGCTGCTTATAAATTGAGAAAGACAGCTGGGAAACACCACTTAAAGATGAAGAAACTAGAAAAGATTACATTCATAACACTGCCACCATAAGACAGTGTAGGAAAAGCAGGCAGAAGGCGGAAGAGAGAGCTGCATCTCCCTGGCAAATTAGAAAATCTGCCAATGGAGCCTTCACATGATGCAGAAGGAAGCTGTCAAGTAACTGTGTCCCAGCAAAAAGTTTCCATCTGCTCCTCCTGACCTAACGCAGCCCTCAGGAATGAGAACAAAATCATCAAATAGCCTGTAATTCATAGTCCTTTAACAATATTAATCTCTCCTTGCCTGTTCTTTATTACGCAGCACTTTAAATATTCAGAACGTACTATTGTTATATTTCCAGTTATATTATCTTTAATCTCTAAACGTGCGAAGCTGCAGCCTTTGAACCTCACATTATTATAGAGCACAACAGCACTCTGTCCCTTCTGGCATGTTCTCCTTGGGTGATAAAGAAAAGGCCAGACCACCGCCTGAAAAAGAGCCTGCGCTGCTGCATGGCTCGATTCTAAAACATGGCTTCGCGCTGTTACGACCCGCCCCAGAAAAAGGGGAGGGGGGTAACCCTGGTTCTTATCAATAATTCCCTTGGGGTGGATTAGAGTGAAACGACACTGAATAATCGGTGTCTGAAAACATATATTGGTAAGGTTTATTTTAACAATTCTGTATCAACAGGTGTGCTAGCATTTTGGGTGCTGTCATATAACAATGTGACATAGAGATAACCTTTGGGGGGGGGGGAGAAAATGCATAGGGGAGAGAAAGACAGGATAAGAGTAAGGGAGAGTAAGGAAAAAGAAAATATGAGAGTGGACAAAACGTCTATAGTCACCGCCCACGGGTCCAGCGATGACACTTGGTAGTTGCCGCTTCCATGTCTGTCAGTTGAACTGGTGGCCTTGATCTGCCGGGGGTGAAGGAGGGAAGCCCCCACACGCCAAGAAGTTATGAGTTATTATACCCATGGTTATTGTCACGGGCCCTGCCTCGAGCCTCCAAACTCTCCCTGGCCCTGCGCAGTTCCTGTGTCCGGCCTGGTTCCCACCTTTCAAGATTGGCAGAGGGGGGGATGGGCTTTGATGGGCCATCAGAGGTATAAACTCGGCTCTTCCTGCCTTTTCAGGGCTTGACACCTTCAGCACTGGAGGGAGGGATGGGCCCAACTGCCCATCAGAGGTCAAAAGCCTGCAAAAGTCTCCTGGAATGCACAAATCGTTAACCGCTTCAGCCTCTGACACACGGCAGATGTGGTGAGTGTTGCCGGGGATACATCACCATCCTCGGGTGGAGAGAACGCCAGCCTGGCCTTCAGCCCTCTGGCCAACGCAGAGGTACTGCCCTCACAAGGGGGGAGCCCTAAGCAGATTGTTCCTGACTGAAGGCAAAGATGTAGGACAGAACCTGGTGGGGAAGGGAAAGAGCTCCTCAATCCGAGACAAATTGAAAGAAGAGAATTAACTGAAGTACATCCTGCACATTCCACTTAAGGAGAGCAGATTCTCCTTTGAAAGAAAAGGTTAGATAAGACAAGCAAAGGCAAAACTTAGCAAAGAAATTGTCTCAGATCGTAGGTCTTATTTTGTCAATTTTTTTTCTTACAGGTTGTAAGAAACATAGCTATTTTAGTATAATTCTTCATAGCTTAAACTCCAGGAGGCTCCAGCAAATCCCCAGGATTTACTTTTACTGCAGTATTAAACTTTGCTGGTAATTTTCTATCAGGTATAAAATCTGTAGGTGCCTGAAATCTCTGTAAGTATATAAGGTTTTAAAATATAACCTGGACAGAGTCTTCTGGTATCTGCATTCATCACTATTGTCACTGTGGATTGTGACTATTGTCACTATTTCACATCAAACTAGTGAAAATTAATAGAATCACTTACAGGATTCATAGGAGGAAGAGTTTGGAAGCTTACAGAGCTTCTTGCCATTTTTAAATTCAAAGGGTAAAGCCAGCATTTTTTTTCATTTAAGCAAAGGTGAAATCAGTACTCCCTGCAATAAACATCATGCAAATTTAGGTTCCTTTTCTTTAAGAACTGTAGTTTCCAAGGGAAGGTATATATTTAGTAAGTAATAGTTACTCTTTGAATTGGGTAAACAACGAGCTCAGCTTCCAGATGTGCCAAAGCTCGGAATCCACAGAGTTAGCAGCCAGCAGCTACCCTCATGCTACATTAGGTAGGAGAGCACAGCTACATTAAAACAGACATAGAAAAATAGAGTGAATTTGCCTGGAAAACCTGCATCATTCTTCTAATTAGCCTTACTGCCTAATGAAGAGAGATAATTAGAAAGGTGAGGTAACATGAAAAGATGTGGTAACTGCCAGTGAGCTTTATAGAAGTCTTTCTTTAAATATTACAAATGTCATCAAAACACCTCACATTCTGTCATGAGATCCTTATTTTAGAACAAAATTAGGATACACTTTGCTATTGAAAACATCTACAGTGTAAAGATCTAACACCTAGATTCCCATCATGCAGGGACCAAGAAAAGTTGCCAGGTATCCTAATGAAGAGCTCCATAAGCCTTGAGCAGTATTTTTAATGTGAACCCATACAAAGAAGCGAATCTGAACTTTCAATACAGTTTGCAACAAACAAAAATTCATTCAGATGACCAAGAGCAACTCCTGTTAGCTCCTAAAAATAACAAGTCCCTAGATGAACACTGCTCAACTCACACTCTGGCTAAGTAGCACTTATGAGGTTATGCCAGAAACAGTGTCTGCTCCACAAACCTGAAAACTGGAAACAGTGTAATTTTATCAAAATTCTTTTAAATGATAGCATTTGTATAAATATACAGTCTTAATAGCTCATTATGGTCTCCTAATCTTTGATTTTATTTTTTTATAAAAAGTTTTATATCATTGTCCCTAGGTTTCAGCAACACTGATATTCAGGAAGGCTCATTTCTGCTATGAGATCTGAATGCTCTATGGCCATTCTAAAAAACCCATGGGCAGTAGCAGCCAGGAACCTGGAATTCCAGCTCCACTGATTTAAAAAATGCTAAGAAAAAGAAGAAAACACAACTGTCATTTTGATCTTCACAGTCACGTATTCTGAAGCAAGGCTTGGGCATGACCCTGCAAATCTAAACATACTGCAGAGTGCTGTCAATCTGAGATACACTTAATTCACAGGCACTGTTAACTGAAAAGAAAGGGAGAAAATTACGTTAAGACTACAAATGCCAGGCTTTGAGACAATACCTGGCATGGTACCAACCACACCTGCTGCCTCACATTTGGGTACTGTGCCCGTTCTGTCACCATTAGCTATTTCAAAGGTCCAGCAGAACAAGGAAAATGTTGATTATCAGGAGATGTTCTCCTACAGCTTGGTCTAGTTCTAAAAAATAGTAACTTTGTGTTGTTATTTAGAAACCAAACTTGACATAAAGCATCTTTAAAGTAATTGTCTCTTAATTACTTTCCTGCTATGGTTTGACCAGCAGACTGCTTGTCAGGTCTGTCTCCAAACTATGAAATTATATTCATACTCAAGAAAACAAGCAAAATAAAGATGATCTCTAGTTTAGCAGAGATTATCAGGTAAATTCTAAGCTTTGTAAAGGTTCTGAAAGTACTCAGGAGAATTAAACTGCAAGTTTACTGTAATGGACTTGGAAAAGCTTGTTGTTTGCATAATAGGAAGGAAACGTAATTTATTGTTCAGGTTTTTACTTTTATTGCACAAGTTTCTCTTTCTACAGAGGCTACCAGACAACATATCCTCTCAGCCTTCCTAACAATACTCTGTAGCTAATGCACCATTAACTTTTTATTTCAGGTTAGAAGGCATAAGTAGATCTAAATATCTCATATTTCTTTAGATATATGTACCCACACTGCTTTACTCTAGCAGAAGGTGGGGCAGAGATGTCTCTATCAAAGCTGAGAGCGGAAAAAGTCTTGTTCTTATATGCAAACATGTCAAAGGAAAATGATCACTAAAGATGTCACGTGGGGGCCCTGCGGAAGGCTCGGTGGTACCACAAAGAGCACTTTGCCCAAATGCTCAAAGGTAAGTAGGGACAAAAAGGTTCATAAGGTGCTTAGCCCAAAACTAAACCATCGACTGACTTGACCTACTGGTTGGTCAAGTGTGAAAAGATGGTGAGAAATCTCCAGTGCCTGATCCATTCAAAAGGATGAGATCCAGAGAGAGATACAGCTCTCAATCCAAGGTCAATCACACTCCTGTCCAAACTCTAGTGAAGAACACTGAACTGAAGATACCTGGCAGACAGGTACTGCTCTGCACAATGTCACTCCTCACTTTCAGTGGCTGTTTTTTTCTTATGAGTTTACAGGAGAAGAAAAAAAAGTCAACTTTTGTGGACTTGCATTTGTTTCATCTTTATTTGTTTCCAAATTTAAGTTAAGAGCATAACTTCAAGACTCCAAGCTTTACTTCAAGACTATTTACTTATTATCTCAATGTGGGCTGCCTCCAAGGATATACCTTCTTGTCAGAGGCAAACGGCAATGGAATTTTTTGTATCACTTCAGTGAAACCCAAAATGTCCAAGAAGGTATGAACAATTTTCCTAATGAAAATAACAAAGTACTTAATGCTTTGAACTCAGTAAGCAAGAAAAGAAAATTCATTAGTCTTTTTACTGTACTTATAATCTCTAACCTATCCACTAAAATACTTACCAGAAATGAAAAAAAAAAAAAATACTGAAAAAAACAGTAGTATCAAATGCTTTAACTGCTAAGATATTTATTTTAAAACATTGTAAGAATCAGTGAATTTCATCTGATATGCTGATTTATTCTTTAACAAGTATTTGGCATCTTGATAATATCAAAGATATCACATGATGCAACAGTTGCTATAGCAGCAATACTTTAAATACAAAACAGACCAAACAAAAGCATAAAACGTATAAACTGTAAACAAAAATATGGTACATAACATGCATCCCCAGCTAGAAGAGAAAAAAGCTACTGAGCTCAATTAGTCCTCAGAATTGCATCTGCAAAAAAGTAAGTTTATCAGCAAGTCCACCCTTCCTGGGAAATAAGAAAGGGCTCGGAGAATTAGGTCTGAATGTGAATGAGAGGAGATGCTGAAACATCAGTTGAAGGGTGAATTTTTTGGGGGTGTTTTCTGGTGGTGTTCCTACCATGCAAGGGGAAATTCTGTGTCTACAGATTCTGAGGCAGGAAAAGAACTGGCGAGTTAAAGCAGATGTGTTGTGTGGTACTACAGAACTTCAGCTGGGGAAATTCTCCTCCGTAGCAACAGTACACAACTGATTTCCCAAAGACAAGGAGTGCATGTGACCTGCAAAAAATACTGAGTCAAAGCAGGCAGGTAAGTGCAGGCTTTGGAATTGCAGTGGAGGAAATGCCTGGTAAGGGCAAAAGCTCATATTACCCACAAAACTGGGAAAAAGGTGTTCTCATGAATTTTGATTTTTTTGATATCTAAAGTGTTCCTACTGTAAATTTCTTGTGGATGCACCTGTCCAAATTAAAAACCAGTATCTGATTATCACTAAGTCAAGTGCTGAGGAGACCTCAACTCCTGACTCAGCCTTATGGCAGTAATGAATTTATATCCATGGGAAAGTAGGCCTTCCATGAGGGATCTAGGGAGCACAAAATCCTGGGGGGAAACACATCAGCAGCTTTGCACAGCACCATCTTCTCCTCAAGACCTTGTGTTTTCCAAGGGACTGGAAGAGAGGTAGCTCCACGCTGCTGCAGCTGCTTGGGCTCTTGTTGGGAGTGTGGGAACTGAAAACTGGGCACCCTCAGTTTAAGGACAATCTCCACCCTGTGGATTACATACCATAATTCAGGCATCTTTGGGTTAAACTTGTGTTTTTCCTTGGCTCTTCCTCCCTATTTAGCTGTTGTTTAGAGGAAGGGATGTCTTCTGCCAGTCCATTTAAGCCAACAGTAGATTGAGACACAATTAGTTTCTTCACTTCTGAGTTAAACTCTTCTTGACTACTACATATTTAAAATAATTTGGGGATTCTAGTAATACTTCTGGAATAATTTGTTCCCCAAGGTTGCTGAAATCAATTACACTATTAATTACTGCCATAATTATAATTACTCATTGAAAAAAAATCCTTTTATAGCATCTTTCCCCCTACTTTCCAAAACAGTCCATTCCAGAAAATAGTATTTTAAACCACTCAGAATTTCTTTTACCCAAGCACTGCCCACTCACATTGCTGAATTTACCCTTTATTTAAGAAAGTTTTAACATAATCTAGTATTTCATATCAAATAATTAGATCATTGCAGTGTTTCATTTTATTCACAAAAATTAGGTCCTGTAGAGAAAAAAAAAATTAAATATTGTTTCAGAATTCCTGTTTTCTAACACAAAAAATGCCAGCAAAGCCAAACTTGATCTATTAACTCTCTTGCATCAGCAATGTAACAACAGGAACTGAAGTACAGAGAACACTACTAACTAATACAGCACATTCAGCAGTTTTTTAACTAAGCAAATACTAAGTTGATACAATATTTATGGGAATATGAAATGCATACAAAGTATTTCAAATATTCAGAACAGAAGCCAAAACTGCACCTTCAAGAAGGCTTACATAGAGAAAGCTCTGAGACCAAATTACTGATCATTTGTACTGCTCAGAAATAAAAAAATAAGTAGACAAACTGGTGTTGTGCCCAGTTACAAAAGATCTGTTATTCTGGAGTCCCACAGACTTTGGGTATAGGTAAGTAGTACAGAGGCAAGTTTATCTCACAATCCTATTTCACATGGACAGCTCCCATGAAATAATGCTGCTGCCTTTGGATTTGTATAAGTTATTTGAGGAATTTTTCACTAATCAAATGCATGATACCACCTCATCTGCATTCGAAATGCAGGAAAACGTGACAGTCACTTGACAGGTTACCCAGCACTGAAGTTTACTGAAATCACACAGTAACTTTGCTGCTTATTGCAGATGAAAACATATCAGCAGACCTGCAATGAATCCAAAGGGGCTCTCTGGAATGGATTCCTGCTGCTCTGCTCTGGTGATTCACGGGAACTGATGTTCCACTTGCTTTTGTGGAGATTGAAATTCAACACATCTTTCAGGGTGCTTATGAAACAAAATGTAAAAGGAAAATCTTGCCAGTCTTCACTCCTGAGTGTGAGATCCACTGCTAAGTAAATAGCTCTAGGAATTAGTAAGTAAATGAAATAGAGAGGTTATTAATCTAATAATAATAATTTAAGACAACTTCTTTCTCCTCCCGCTCCCTTTTCTTTGCTTGATTTTTGCTGCAATGAAATTATGAAATCAGACAGTTTACCATACTGAGAGATCAGGGACACGTACTTATATTAGAAAACATGTATCAGAATGTATAAGTTTTAATCTGTACCCTTAATATATACTTATCCTAAAAGAGAAGCAATCACAAAAATCCTTTGCTATACACATATATACATCAAATTCAATGCCAAACATTTGCAGGAGGAGAGTCCTGTATTTAATACTAAAGTTCACATCCTGCATTTTAGAGCCTGTGACAAAATGAAATTGAAGTCATTACTACTATGATTTTGGTAGAGCAGTTTTCCAAACCACTTCAACATACAAATAGTAAAATTACTTCAAAAAACATATGTAAAAATCTAAGGTTAACAAATACAGCACTTCTTAAGTCACAGCCTTGGCCTCTGTGGCAAAGTTAAGAAAATGAATTGTGGGGACAATGTCACAAGGAAGCTGGGATATGGGACACATTGATGTGTGCCTATAACCAACTCTCAATTAATTGTAAATTGGTTTACCTCTCTTACAGATAATTGCAGACACAGCTTGAGCCTAGAAGAACTTATTATCTCAGGTACAATGCAATCTAAACATGGCAATTGTGCATCAAGGCTCTGCATGCCAAGTACTTTGGGGGATTACTTGAGAAATCTAAGCTGGTTTCTGTAGAATCACATTGCTCTGGAAAAGGGCAGCACAATCAATCCTCCAGAAACAAGAGTGATGTAGCACCATGTGCACACCCAGCTGGGTCTGCTGGAGCTGGATCCAGCAGCACCGCTGGGAACAGAAGCAGCACAGCTGGATCTGTGACATCAGGAAATATTTGTACCAAACTCCTCTCCACAGCCTCCAGCAGCTCGTACATCTGGGGGTTGCTGCTTTCTGTTACCAGGGCACCCCAGGTCTTTATTAAAAAAAAACTAGACAAAAAAGGTAAGAATTACTACAGTCATTTCCCTCTGTGACTTCTGTCCCTAAACAGGTGTTGCTGGAGGAAAGAGGGACAGGAGGAAGGAAAACTTCCCAGTGTAGACAAGTTGTCCGTTTCTTCTGTGGAAGCTGACAGCTCCTGTGTGAGGTGTCCCACCTGGAAAGCAGGCTGGTGCTGCAGATCCAAGTGTCCCAGTCCTGTTAGTGGCCCCATGTGGAGATCAAGCTGATTCCATTGCAACAGGGGAAGCTGAGCATTAAATCTATAAAGCTCAAGTTCCAAACCCGAAAATGCTATGTAGGCCATATAAATGCATTCTGAGGTTAATCTGGTTTTTTTGCATGAGACTTCTGCCTACTAAAAACAGTGGCAGCCACACTAAAGAAACCTCCAGAAACTTGTTTTACAAATTTCGGTATAAAACCTATTAAAATTCTCAATATGTCTCACTTTACTTTTTACAAATTCAAAAACCTCCTCTCACAAGTGCTAATAATTAATAGGGTGCTTTGAACTTCACTGAAAGAAAAAACGTTGGGAGGCTTGAGGTAAGTAACTTTTCAAAGCTTTGATTATTCGTCAAAGAAAAAACTGTTTGAAATATGGCTGGGAAATGGTAAACCATTCAGAAATGGCAGCTGGAACACCCAACACACTCCTGTTTCTTTCTTTTTCAGAAATTATATCTTCTGGCTGTATTAAGCCTTCATTAGTATTTCTCAGGTCTCCTTATATGGTAAATTATATAATAGAAATATGATCAAAGCTCTAAGTACCAAAAATATATTACCAGCTCTTCTTCGACGGATTTTTCTAGTGGGGATTGTTTCTACCAGATAACTGAAAAAAGTTGGAAATTAGTTGAATATCAGCCTACTGGCAACAGAGTCTAATGATTATTATAATATTTTTCTGCAGCAAGGAGAGTTAATTTCTATATAGAACTTGAACAAATATTTCAACTTAAGCACTGAAAACTGAAGTAGTTCATGGTCTTACAAACTGCCTCAAATTTACTAACAAACCTTTATCTAATGTCCCCTGGACTTCCAACTGCTCAGATCGAAATGTACTGATGCTGTCGGTAAGTTCTGGCAAATGTCTTTGTTGAACAAAAGACATTTTAGATTTGTTTACAAATCCATCCTGCAGCACTTTATAAACAACTGCAAACAGCTCTTTCTGGTGTATGAACAGATGCAAGGCTGGGCCCAGTCCCCTCACAGTTTTCCACTGATGTTGGAAACCTCCTCATGTTGATAGGAGGAGACAGTGGGCAGATCCCTTTCAGCAGGAGGACTGCAATGTCTTCTCCCAAACTCTGGAATTCAACTATGCCTATTACAGAATAAGCTCTATTGTTTATACATACTTGAAAATTCAGAAATCAGGACAATTCAACTGAAGAAATTATGTTGGCCTGGAGGATGAGAAGTAACACTGATCTACAGTGTTATTTTAAAGACCAAGATTAAATAATATTGTTCAAGTAATTAGCTGGTTTCTCCTATTTTTAATTTCCTCGTGATAAATCCAGTGAATCAGAAGTTCCAGTTATCAAAAAAGCCTATAAAGACAAAAAAATTAGGTTCTTATTTAGTTCAGCTTTTTATTTAACAATTAAGGCTACCCTAAAAGAAAGCAGTATGTTCTTGATACCAGAATGTTTTCATGTCATATGTGATTAAATATTTTTAAAAGAATAACAATTCTTTTTCAAAAGAATAATCAAAAACTGTCTTTAAAACGGTCCAGCTCAGCACTATCATATTAAAATCCATTAGAAAACACTGCAGAACTTACACAGCTGTTCTATCAGCCTCTCCACTTGCAGATCTCTGAAATAATGATCTCAACACTAAGTGTTTTAGATACACTAATTACTACCCAAGCTTTGAGTGGGGCTTCAGCATTCAACATTGGTTTGCAGCTTTCCTCCCTGAGCCAGGTCACAGCCCAGCTGTGAACACTTTGAAAATTCTAACCATTCCTAATATGAATGTGACTTCACATCACTCTGCAAGGTACCCATCATGACATGTAAATAAACATAAAAAAACTACACATTCAGCTGGAAACCTGTTTATTCCGATAACAAGGATCTTTGGTCTAAAAACACATATTTATGTCCTGTCCAGTACTGTGAGTAAATGCCTTTTTTCGCTTTCACTATGATTTCAGTCAAGATGGCTCAATGAAATATCAGAAATACTAATATCCACAAAATGACTACCAACTGTGGAATAACACATATTAGAACTGTCAATCCAGACTAATATGCAGTTGCCTCAGATAGAAAACTATTACAGAACTCAGAGATAACCTGCACCCTTTGATCATTCAGGCCTCTAGAAGCAAGTCCTCTGAAGGTAATTCAGATGCCTAGAACAGAAATCTGGGGAAAATGAGATAATTAGTGAAATTCTATTTTTTAAAATACTTTCATCTGGTTCACGGGTCAAAATATTTTGCAAATACAGGCATTCTGTACTCACTTTGACCTAATCCTAAAGCTTCCTTAGTGAAGCTAATAATGTCCTGTTCACTACAGAACTGGAAAAATAATACTGAACTGGTTTTGAAGAACCTTAACCAAACTGGCTTTCTTGCTGTGTCCTGTATCTTCCAAAGGTTTAAGACACTGAGGTCAGCTAAGCAGAACGACTGGAAGTAAAACCAAGAAGCTCCTGAAAGTAACTAACTAGACTTAATGACTCTCATTCTCTTGCATTTTTGAAGATTTAAGTTGCTTCTAAGTTGGATTCCCAGCTTGAGACATGAAGAGCCTGGAAACCCAAACAGGAAAGCATACAAATTCAGGGTTTACTGCAAAAAAGCTGATTTGAGCTGCTTCAAGAAAGCAGGTAGGACTATGGAGCCAATTACAATAGGAAAATGACTGATTAATCCAGAGACAAGTGAGCTGATTCGCAGCTCTCTAATCAAACATCAGAACACAGAAACTATTTTAATGGATTACACCAGATGTCTGCCTAGTCCAGCAAGGATAGCAGCAGAATATGAACTCTGTAGTAGACAGGTGTGAGGTAATCTACCTTCCCTATTCAGTCCCATTTTACTTGAAATACACAGCTTGGCTTTAACCATGATACAGAAAATAATGCTGAGCCTGACAGTATTATAAAAGCTGATGGCTAAATTGATTTATATGGTTTGAACAAGGTTCAGTCCTTCTGTAGTGGATTCATTCTTCTTGCACTTGTGCAAAATGCAGGTTGCAGAGCTAGATTCATCTCCTAAAGACTGGTCTAGATCTGGCACATGATGAAGACACACTAAGCAGTCAGGAAGCATCAAGCACAAGAACGTTCCCCAGTTTTGTTATGTGTTCAGTAACAGTGTCAGTGTCACCTGCCACTAAGGGGACAAAAAAGGTTTTTTGGGGGATTTCCCAAGGAAAGAATCTGCCTGTCACTTTAGTGTCAGCTGACAGTCAGAAAAAAAACCAAACCACCCCACCTTTTTTTTTTTCCTCCCAGCCTACTTTCCATGTCCTTCCTTAAAAATGGGCCAAGATCACAAGCTTGCTTCCCTTTCTCTGAAAGTTTTGGGTCTTTTTCATGTCTTTGTGGTTCTTCACATTTTTAATTCCTTGTCTGGTTTTTCCAAAACAGAAGGACCTTCAAATTAAACTTGCAAAATGGCCAGACAAACATTGCAAAACTTCAGCAGACCATGTATCAGGACACGCAACTAAACACGATTTCAGCACAACATTTATGAGAAAATCACTCATTAGTCAGCTGCAACAGTTACAAGTAGAAAAAGTTCTGGGCAATGTTAAAAATAAAAATATTGTAAGGCTGCAGATTCAAATAATACATCAGAGAACACAATGTAAGAGTAAGTTAATCTGGAAGCAGCATGAAAGTTACATTACATATTAAAGTTATGACAAGGGCACAGGCAACAGTAACAGGCAGCAAAGGTGACACAGTCAAATGGCCACTTGGAAATTTGTTCCCCGATTCACAGCTCAGGCAGAGCTGATCAGCTGTGTTTAGTAGTGTTGCACAACACAGAGGATGCAAATAATCACCTGACTCATGGACAAGTTCAATGTACAATAAACTTCACAGTGTGGTTTCAGGGCTTCATAAACAGCATGGTTGAACACAGGGAACTCAGGAACTGCATGGCCAAACCGTTTAGATGTAGACTCTGTAGTATTGTTTCCCAGAACACAACAGCATTTCACATACTTATCACTTTTTTCACCTCAAGTGGCCCAAAAATCCAAAATCAGTTCTATAGATAATACATATTCATTTGGAGCCACTTCTGAGGCTGAAAAGCAGCAGCACAGCCACTAACACAGCAGGCTGGGAAAATGAACTTCTGGTCCAGGAACCCAGATCAGTTATGTGTGGTGCTGTGGGATATTAAATATTCAGCAAAACTGTTATCTTTGTTTCATCTTCGAAATGTTAATATCTCTAATTTTCATAATATATTTTGGGGGCTTTTATTTTCATGTGGGTTGGAAAAGACCTTAACTGTGTTTTGTTAGAACAGGAAAGACCCCCGTACCTAGGGAGGTCCTTATCATTTATTAGGAAACACAAAACTTCAGTGTCACAGACAAACTTATCTTCACATACACAGTTAAAGCCATTGTTAATACATTCCGAGTGGGAAGAACAACACTTGCCACCTTCCTTAAAGAAATCCTCAATAACAAGAGTAAGGCATGGGAGCTGTCAGGGGTGCTGGTCGCTGCCCCTCCGCAGCCTCCGGCTACTTTACACCTCCCGGACAGGTCAAGCAGCATCTGGAGGTCAAACCCCGAGCTATCAGCCTTGAGCTGCACTTTCAGTTCCGGACCTGTGTCTTGACGAATTTTTTTTTTCATCCTAATTAAAGCAGGCGGTTGTTTCTTGTGTGAGGGGAGCTCCTCTGCACCACCAGTTTGCTCTGCTCTTCGCCACCGCCACCTTCGCCCCTGCGCGGGAGGATGGAGCAGAGTGCGGGAGGATGGAGCAGAGTGCGGGAGGATGGAGCAGAGTGCGGGAGGATGGAGCAGGGTACAGGCTGCCCCACCATCATTCTCCGCCCAGCCAGGGCTCAGCCCCGCAGCGCCGGCCGGGTGAGCCGAGCTCTGGCCCTCGCACCTTCCAGCCCACAGCGGGTCAGTCCCTCTCAGGCAGGGCTGGAGCGCCGGGGGCTCTTCCCTCTCTCCCTGCTTGAAAGAGCTTTCCCCGTGACCACCTCTTCCCCGGGAAGACGCTCCTCACCCCCCCATGGGAAGGGGCCTTGCCCTTCGCCACAGCTCCCCGGGTAGGAGCCTCTGCGGCGGCCCCTTCGTCACCTCAGTGCCCTCGGCCAGAGGCTCTCCCCTCCCTCTCCCCTGAGAGAAGGGCTCCGTCTCCGCACTCAGTTGCGAGCCAGGCCCCCTCTACCGCCAGAAGCCCCTGGAGAAGGGGGGCTCCCCCTCTCCCCCCGCCCAGGCGACTGCGACTGCGACTGGCACTGACCCGTCTCTGCCGTCCTGCTCCTCTCCGCCATATTTGTTGTCATCCCGCCACCCCCTCCCCACGCCGCCCGGCCGTCGCCATGGCAACGCGCGTCACCGCCACCGGGGGAGCCCCGCGCCCCCCCCCCGCCATGGCGGCGCGGGCTGACGGCCGCTCCCGGGGACAGAGCCCGCTCGGGGAGAGCCGCTCCCGGGACAGTCTTCCCCGGGACAGCCTTCCCAGGGACAGCGTGCCAGGGCAGCAATGTCCGCTCCCGCCCTCGCCCAGCTCGGCGGCCGCCGCGGTGCTGGAGGGCGGGGCGTGACGAGAGCACCGCCGGCTGCCCGCCCCTCACGCAGCGCCGGCTCCCCGCCCGCACGGCCGTGCCCGCCCCTCTTCGCCTCCCGTGACCGCTGTTTACCGGCGCTGCTCGTCTGGGGAGGGGAAGGCTCGTTATTCGCTCCCCGGTGGCTGCTGCCACCTCGGCAATTACCGTCACAGCGCCCCGGGGGACGGGGCAGTGCCGGGTACCGGAGGCCCCTGCCGGGGTGGCCCCGCCCGCGGGGAGTCGGGGTGGCCCTGAGGTGCTCACAGGGCACCGAGGAGGAGAGAGAGGCTCGTTACCAGAGTCACAGAATCACTTAATTCCAGCCACCATGTCAACTAAACCATAGGACTCAGTGTCACGTCCAGTCTTTGCCTCCTGGGATGGTCACTCTGCCACCTCCCTGGGCAGCCCATTCCAGTGTCTAATCACTCTTTCTGTGAAGAAATTCTTCCTAGTGTCCAATGTCCTAATGTTACGCAGGTGCATGTCCCCTTCCACACAGATCAGGGGCGCAGAGGGCAGAGAGGTTTCTGCCACCCCAGGGGTGGGGAGCACATCCTCCTGCTCCAATTCCAGCCTCATGTACTGAAGCGCAGCACAGGCAGAGATGGCAAATTCATGTGTGTGTGACTGCCCCACCCTGCCCCAAAACTCAGCAGGTGAGTCTGGTCATGTGGCAGTTATGTCAACTTCTATTTTATTTTTATTTTTAATTTCTTAAGGCAGCCCAGTGGGGAGTTTCATTATGTGTGCAAGTGTCGCCCGTCTGTCTCCTTGCCCCAGACCCAGCAGGTGAGCCTGACCATATGGCAAATGCAGTGACGGGGACGGGAGGGCTTCTGCGTGCGCGTGTTCGCGGGCCCGCTGGGTGACACTCACCATGTGGCAAACACGGCCATGAAGACTTTGGTGCAGAGGGGCTAATTATGTGCGTGAGTCCCAAGGGACCCGGCAGGCTGGGTGTGCTCATGCGTGTCTCGCTAAAGCACGGCTCAGGCGGAAGCTCCACTGTACATCCCCAGCGCTGCCAACGCCAAGCCCTCGGAGGCGAGGCTGGCCATGGGGCAAGCACAGTGTTACAAGCAGGAGCATCAAGCCTAGAATCGTGTGTGTGTGCAGACACGGGCAGACACGGGGTTCAGTGCACACCAAACTGGGGGGCTGCTAGAACCGTGAACCAGGGAGTGCACGTGCAGTGCTAAGCAATGGAAATGGGCAGGACTGTGTTCATGGTTATGTACAAAGGTGTTTGCCTCCTTAGATCCGGTAAATTAATGTAACCACTTCCTAGTGACCAATGACTAGTCAGTGAAAGATTCCAAGCTTAAAAATCAAGGCAGGTAAAATTGTATCTTTCTTCATTTAAGTTCTGTTCTTTAAACATCACTTTACCTTTTTTGTCTTCCTATCTAGTATGTGCCTTTTCTGCTCCAGTTTAACTCCTCTTAACAAGACTCACATGGATAATACCTGCAGGTTCCACACGCTTAGATTTTTCTGTAGGGTCAGTTGCTTCCTTTCTCCCTGGAAAAGAGAAAACCTGCTCCTTTTGCAGCCCTGTTCATTCTTCTTTCAGTTCATAGTTCTCTGGTTATTTTTGCAGCATCTATTTTTGTGGTTTCCCTTCCTTTACTGTTTCCTTTCTTTTTCAGTGACATTTAGGCCTCTCTCCTCAGTATCTTACTCAGGCTCTTCACTCTCAGTATCTTACTCTAGTATTATATAAGCTAATTAATTTAATGTTACTTTAGCCACATTCCTGTGCCTTGATGAAATACCTGTCTGAAGGGGTGTACCAAGGGGGCTTGTGACAGGGTTAGAAGATGCACCCTTGCACAGAAGAATAGCAGAGTGTAGGTCTGTTCTTTGCTTAGCAAAGCCATCTAGATCCAAGCTCTGAAAAAAATATTTTCTAGACTTTTCCCTCTGCAGTCTTTATAAACTATAGGTGGTCACTCGCATACTAAAAAGGTTGATGTGTCTCGCTGCTGACAGTGAGCTACACTAAGTGCACACACCCCCACAGACACATTCTCTCCCATACACTCTTCCTCCAGGCCCACAGATCACCCAGGCCATGTGCTCTTCCTTGTTTGTTGCTGGACAAATGATCCTGGGACATCCCTCTTCAGAACATGCCACATATACTCTAATCTTTCTCTTCTTTCTTTTAGGTTCCCTGATAGCCATGTCCCATCCCAGCCCTCCTTCAAACAATTTCTCATATTACTTACCTCTTCATTCCTTTATCTGATATTTCCTTTTTTCTTTTCTTTTTTCCTTTTTAGATCTTAAAGAGTTCTGTCCAAGTTTGCAGCTCTAGTCTGGTTTCTTATGTCCCCATGTCCCCTTATTCCCTTTGTTCTACTTGCTATTCCAGCTTTAGTGTCCCCTCATCCATATTTCATTCCTATCTATTAATACTCATATAGCATTTTTCATCTGTAAATTTCTAAGAATTCAGTGCCTGTGGAGAGACCTTCCATATCAGTGCTTCTTTATTCACATTTCTCTGAGACTCGCTTCTATGGTGACCACAAATACTAATCCAAAGGTCTTTTGCATCTAATTGCCCGTCAATTAACTCAACTCAAATACCTCCAAGAAGGTCTATTGAAATAAAGACATTTGGGGGAAAGAACTTTCTCCAGTCAAATTATCTCTTCTGAGTTAACACACTTGAAAAACCTAGAAATGCCACACTCATTTTTTTTAGTCTGAGTTTAATGCTATGTTATAGTCACCTCACCAAGCAGAAGTGCTGTTAAATATAGATGATATGCAGTCTTTCCAAAAACAGTAAGATAATTTGACAAGAGAGAACTGGAAAGTTCATATAGAAAGTTCTTTTGGAAATAGAAAGATAACTGAATGGTGTAACTTGAATCAGGGCTGAAGAACGAGGGAACTGGTTTTTTAGAGAAGCAGTTGCTTATTTTTATTTGCACGTTTTTAGAGCACCTGAGAACATGTTGAGGTGCTCGTTAGTACAAAGACATCTGTGGCCCTTGCCCTTCCAAAGCAAGCAATCTGATTTTGGACATCACAAACCAACAAAGAACAACAGAACACTGCTGCAAACCACCGCTGCCCTGGTTATCCTCACATTCGCTGTTTCAGCCCTATTCCTTGTTCCAGCGGGTCCCCCGCCTCCTTCCGCATCTTGGCAAGCAAAAACTGCTCCACTTCTGTGGCTCTTTGCAGCTTATTCCCACCCCATCATCTTTTAATAGCCTATGGAAAAACCAGCGGCTTCCCCCCACACATTTCATTCAGTAATAACTCTCTACTTGTTACATTTTCAAACCGGCACCTTCATGCTTTCCCTCGCTGCTGCTTCTCACTCCCACTCACCTAATTTTCCTCCTTCAAATCCCTCCCTAAAAATCTCCTATGCTGTGCTGTCTACTGAAGGAATGGTAATGAGTCGTCAGCTGTGTGCCAAGATGACTGTCTGTCATGGAGACTGTTCTTGTCTTACTCTCATGTGTCGGGATCCACTGCCTGGGTGGGACTGACAGCGACTCAAGGCAGGGCCGCTCCTTTTGCTGTGTTGTGGGTCCTGGAACGGACCCTTAAAACTCATTGTGTAAACAAACAAAAATAAACTGAGGCGATGGAAATAAAAATGGAAATGCCGGCCAAAACCAGGAAGATTAGACAATATTTCAGTTAGGATTCATCAGCTGAGGTAAATTTACATAAAAATTAATGTGACTGACAACTCCATTACAAATATTGAGAAAGAAATTATTTTTATAAATACGGATTTGTCCCATTTTTCTATTTATTTATAATCTCTAAGGACTTAAGGAGTATGTTTTACTTTTTTATTCTATGCTTGCATTTGAAACATTAGATATTCCATTGTTTGTTTATCTTTCGTTTGCAGCCTGGAAGACTGTGGCGATTAAAGAACAGAAGAAAGCATAACAGTGAAAGAGCAAAGACTTGAAAGGAAAAAAGATTTCTGATCACTTTTGTTTTAACATGAGGATAATTCAAATATGTTGAAGATCGAATGATTCCTGTTACACATTCAATACTTCTGATTCAGCTAGAGGTGGCTGCTGTCAATACATGTCTGTCAAAACCCCAAAGATCTTCCAAGAAAATCAATAAAAATCCAATTTTACAATCTTGATATTTTCAGAGTGTTTAAAAAATTGGCAAAAATCCACCCTTTTTTATACATTACAAAAAAAGACAGTAAGGTACATTATTGATCTTTCACAAATCGTTTTTAAGTGACTGTTAAGGCTGGATGTGAATGAGAAGATGGAGCATTAGCACACGTTTTCCATGCCTTTCACACACCACACACACAGTGTATGGTGTGGGTCTTCAAAGTGGGGATTTAAAAATTCAGGTGTAATTGTGTAGAAATCATATAATTACTTTTTTTTGGTATCACTTTCCCTGTGTAGAAAAAAGTCGTGCAAGCATTCAAGTGTATATTCTATTGGTGCTTCAACTGTGACTCCTGTCAGAGAAAAGACCATGACAATGGTTCTGCTACAGAAAGGCCATCGATGATGGCCGTGCAAGCAGAGCAGGTACATTCCAAATTAAAAATAAGAAAACTAAAAAGAAGAAGAAGAAAAAAAAAGAGAGAGAGAGAGAGAAAATCAAAAGTGTGGTCAGAGTTTTTAGCCAGGATGTTATGGTCTGGTGGACTCAGACAGAAAATTAAATCTGATAAAGCAAGAAAAAGCCAAAATGAAAAACCAAAGCCCAGACTGAGGTAGCAAAATTGAGGTGAATTTTCAACCATGCACACATAGTGGAGGAATGCTATAATCTTATTATTGTAACCTTGATCCACTCGTTCCCCCAGCATTTATTGCTCTCATTAGTTATGTAATATCTAAAAGCACACTGTAATTTTTTTGTGTCAGGACAGTATCTTTAATGTATTCTGAACACGCCTAGTATAACTACAGAGATTTATACAAAAATAATATTACTTCTTGAGGGTTTTTTCTGTGTTATTTCTAAGCATAGGAAAAATTAAAATGCAGCAAGTCTGAAAAGGTCAAACTGTATCTCCCCTCATTCTGTGCATGATTTCAGAAATAATCTAAAAGTTATGCTGAGATAACTGACATGAAACCAGAGACACCGTCATCACAAAACTCGGATCAATTTTTGCCCATGCAGGCAAAGCATCATCTCATTTCACACCTGAAAATATTTTTTTTTAATTTTACATTTTACAGATATTTTGAACTGTTTGTTCCTAGCGGTTTGTCCTCACAGATGTGCATCATTATTGTGTAATTACACAGAGAAACCGTCAGCCCGAAGGAAGCCAGCCTGTAAACGACAGCCGTGCCGAACGGGAGGTGAGCGACCTGTGACTCCGGGATTTGGAATGCTGCTTGGCTTGTCCACTCTTCCACAAGCTCTTCTGAGCTTGTAAAAGCAGGGGATTGCCAATGTGCAGGGCTTTCTCACACACACCCCCTTGCTCTTCCACTGCCCCTCTAAGCCAGGCAGAGCTGAGGAGTGTTTGCTTGCCAGTGAGCACAACTAGGAAAGGAAAGGAAAGGAAGGTCAGTGGCAGCCACCCGGGCACAGATTGGAAAAAGAACTGTTATCCAAGGGCACAGGTAAACCCTTGCTATTACAAACTGAGACTTCTAAATTCTTTTCAGGAAATAACCTTCATTTTTAAGTTCCCATCAGAAAGGTGCACACACATATGTGATAAAAGTGCACTTTACCTGGGAAAGGTGAAGGGCTAAGTCAGTTCTCCTGGGATTTGAGCATGTGGATCAAAACAGTTTAGAATTTCAAACGTGAAGTATAATGCTAAGCTAGAATTCTCTGCCACTCAGAGGCAGGTAGAAGGGACCCAAAGAATTCTTCTGCGCTGGAACCCTCCAATTCCCTGGAATCCCTCAGTGGGGAAAGCACTTTCCAGTGGTTTCTAATTGTGTAGCTGCTAAATATGCTCTTTACAGGTGTTCCCAAGGGGTCTTCATGATCCTGATCCACTCCTAGTGGCAGAGATTACTACACCTATACTTAGAAATTAAAATATATGCTTGTGTAATGTTTTAATATCTTAATTGGAAAATGTTTAATATCTAAGTATTAGTTTTTCATTAATATTTCCAATATTATTATGGACTCAGTCCTGTGTTTATATATACAGACACATTTTATGCATTGCATTTTAATAATCTATAAACCCTACAGTTCTCTTCTATCTTTTAATCCTTTTCAGCATTTACTCTGATAAAATTCTTTTAACGCAGACAGCGAACATCTGGACAGATGAGAGAGGTACAATCAGAACTTAATTTCAGATTAACTGAACAATTGTTTGCTGTCTTGAAGCTGGTTATTTGGCCCTCAACTGAAATTTAATTCTTTATAGGAGAGGATTCATAATTAATTTAGGAACCATGTTAAATTCCATACTTTTAAAATAAATTCATGATTTGTTATTAGTTACAATTTCTCAAGGTACCAGTGGCACAGAAAAAGGAGCAGCAAATCACTGAGAGACAATCAGTACATGTAGCAGCTGGGAGAGAGGAGGTAAACTGAAATGGCAGGAATTTACTTTAGACTGCAATAAGCTTATGTTAGCTAACACATGGCAACTAATACACGATGAAATCCCAGTGCAGAAAGGCCATTTTTAGTTATCACATTTGTTAGCAGATCATGGTAAACAGTTGGCTCACCCTAATATGCACTTGTCTTCCCCAGCATTTTTTTCTCACACTAAGTGGCAAGGAACTCCCTTTTGCTCCTATTATATACAAGTCCTACGAGTGCTCAGACAGGAGAGGAGTAGATCTATGCCAATGTCAGCCACATGGATGAAAAATGATGGGTTTATTCCTTTCAGGAATCCAAGGAATGAGCTCAGAGGCTGCAGGTAGATTGCCTTGGTTGAGTTCACTGCACTTGGTGGCTTAGGACTGTCAGCCCTTGAAGTCTTGGTTCACCTTTAGCCTTTCAGTTTTGCACTGCACTTGTGCAGGAACATTCCCGGCTTGCCGGTTATTCCATAAGCCCTGCAGTGCCACCAAAACAAGTCCGTTTAGTGCAAATGTTATTGACATTTCCCTTTAATAATGACAGTGCAATAAGGAAAACTCAAGCCCATAGCAGCACTCCATCAGCTTAGAAAAGGGATAATAACATTAGGGCCATTTTCTGTGGAATCCAGGGTATAGAGTAAAGCAAAATATGGGACCTACCAAAGCCAACCACCTTCCCTCAAGAGTACAAGAAAGGATATTGTTTGGTGAATCTAGTCCTAAATACTGTCTGCTAGGGCAAAATAAGGAGAACTCGAGAGAAAAAGGACAATCTGATGATGGGCAAAAATATGATCAGGGGATAGTGCTCCACATGCAAACTTCACCCTGACCATCATGAGACGGGCAGAGACCGGGCTTTAGAGGCATCAGAGAAGCATTACGCCAAGACCACATTCACAGTAACATTTTAAAATCACTATCTCATGTGTCTGAAGACAGGAAACACACGGCATCTTTAATTTCTCTATTTTGTCCAAGTAATACCAAAGTCCAGATACTCCTGAACACCGTGATTACCAAAAATTGTTTCCCTTGATGTAATAGCAATGCTGAGAAGTGAATATTCAGTAAGATATAATCACACACAATTATCTGTCCCTAAACTTGAATTTAAGAGTCTGTAGAAAAAATTACATGAACTTTTTAAAGTTTGTATTCATAACATCTTCTTCTGCATTCTAAAGCCTCAGTGACCCTCACAGCCTGCAAACTTTCTGCCACTCCCTGCAAGAGTGGCCCTACAGATGAAAAAAAAATCCTTTAAATTAATATCTTACAGAAATGAATGGGTATATATTGGATCAGAATCTGCAGAAATAATTTAATGTAATTACTAACTAATCCATTTTGAAATCAAGGACAATTTAAAAATTAAGACACTAATATGAAATTAGAGTCACTTGAAGTTTGGGTGAAGGAAGTACACAGTAAAAAATGTAGTTACATATCATTCTTATCTTCTAAATGAAGATATTCGGTGAAGCACAGATGGGCTACTGTATTCCTAATCCTCTGACCCATAAGGATTGGCAGTGAGACAGTGTTCCCACTAATACATCTCCCACTCCTTACTTTTTCACGTGGCATTGAAATACTACATTTAGGAACTCGTTGACTCACTTAGGATGGCGGGTGCTGTACCAGAGAAAGGAAGCTGATTTCCTTTTCATATTATAAGCACACACAAAAGGGCTGGAAACTTAGGAATCAGCTCTTAGAAGAAGCACACGGAATAGAAAAACTCCTAAAATCTTAACTGCCAGAAAGTAATGGACCATTATACAGGAGAAGGGAAGCTCAAGTATACTGAGGGTCTGACTAAGGAGTGGGCACAGCACTGTCCAGGACAGCTATCCTTGACCATTCCCAAAACTGCCAAAATTGTGATGGAGGGCAGAGCTGCTCACAAACCAGGCACAGGATCTGCAACTTGACAATGTCTATAGAGGAGGGCTTCCAAGTAAATTCCCCCTTTGCTGAAAATTCTGGGCTGGAAACTGCAGATTTGGACACTAGAGCAGTGACCCCATCAGCCACCTGAAGTTACAGCATCCTGATGGGGTCATATGTCACTTAGCAATCACTTGAGAATCCCACTATAGAAAAAGGAATGGATTTGAATTCCCAGCTCTCAAGGTTACCCATCAGAACCTTCTTCCCATACAGTAAGCAAGAACTTTTAAAGGGAGCAGCTGCCACCAGCCAGTGAACCTGAAAGGGACAGAAATGTGGGTAAAGTGTCCCAGTGTAGCAATGCACTCTGACAGAGATCCACACAAGAGGCAGGATTAAAGCCAACACAAGAAGAGATGCTGTTTAATTAGGACCTTCACAGAGAAACATCTGGTGTAATTGGTTAAGGGGAAGTCTTCATTCAGGCAACATTTATTGGTATATAAACAATGTCCAATTGTAAACACTAATTAAACAGCAGGACTAAGGTAACAGAGTTTTGCCTGCCTGACTAGGACATAAGGTTTATAATCCATGCTGTTATGGGACAACAGCAAGAACAAATAATTGTGGATTCAATAAGTCAATTATGCCCTTCTTTTTGTAATAACATACTCCAGAGGTCAAGAGAATACTTTCAGTAACACAGGCAGTTTTCAATAGCGATTGAAGCTTGATAGCTATTCAGTATTTGTTAGGAAAGTGGCAGCAGCAGGACAAGCCTGATGGATATTCCCCCTATCTGGTGGTACGTTATTTGCCCATCAATGCGATGCTCCAGGCACTCTCATGTCCTTTGGTTTCACTGAACAAATTCTCTTGACTTTGAGCCATCTCCTCTATAGTAGATTCCTAGGAATTCATATCATTAACCATATATTATTTCAAAATGTTATTTTAAAGCAAGCTTACTTACAAGTAATAGTGATACTTATTTTATATATATTAGATATATATAGTTGAACTAATGCAAATTTAATGACAGGTACACACGCATCCATGTAGCTATAAATTCAATGACAAATCCGTCTTGCAGATCTTTTTCAGAAGATCCTTTTGCAATGGCTGCAGCCTGGCTTTACCTAACCCCTCCGGACTGCCTCCAGGTTCATCACAGGAAAGCCTCCACCTTCTGCAGCGTCTCCAGAATCATTTCTACTTGGCAGAACTATATCTGCCATTACAATCCCTTCAAAGACAGCCTCTGTAACAAAGAAAATTCCACTTTATTAACTTCCTTCTTGCTTATCTTCTTTGTACTGGTGGAATAACATACCTCTGCAAATTGGAAGGAAAATGAGAGGTTTGGAGGCCGGTCATGTAGAATCATGAGTATCTCAAGTTGGGAGGTACCCCTAAGGATCATGGAGTCCAACTCCCTGCTCCTTGCATGACTACCTGACACTAATCCATGTGACCAAGAGTGTCATCTGCTGTGATGAGAGAGGGATGTTTTCCCCTGAATGCCATTCTAGGCACTAACATCATCTGTGAGGATGAAGAAGCACCATTTGTCACATACAATGAACAACTAAAATAGAGACGCTCCCCAGAAGTTCTCTTCCAAACCAGTGACGCCCACAAGAGCTTTCTGTCTTTCATGTGAACACTCTGAAGACATTTTCTTTATTTAATAGCTTTCGTAACACAGTGTAGGCTACAGTGCATTTGCTGCACTTTGCAGATGTGGCCATCAAATGACCTGAATTCTGTGAGAAGACTGCAGGCCAAGCAGTGATAGACAAACGCACTGAAATCTTCAGCTGGTTTATAGCATTTTAAAGTGCACATCATTTTCTCACAAACTAAATACCCACAGCAAGTGGAAAAACCGACTTTAAAAACTTGTAATTTTTTTTTAAATTCATAGCCTCTAGCAATATATTTAAATGAGCGGTAGGTACAAAACTATACTCAAAACCTTAAATGTTTTCACAATAATTTTTACTTTTAATAATTTAATTTATTGCATTTTAGATTTGAAAGTAGCAAGGACAATTTCAAACAAAAACTTCAAAACCAAGATACAACCAAAGACTTTTTCAGGATGAAAGAACACATGTAAGGAGGATCAAGACCCTACAGTGAGATCAGCTATTAGCTAATTAAATATGTGACTAAAATTCATCATTTTAAATAGCAGCCGTATTGATGGTGAGCAATCTGGTAAGCAAACAAATGATGGTGGATTTTTTTTGTATCTTCAGAGAGAAACATTTATCTTAATAAGATTCACTATGCCATAATACACATGGAATAAGTCAATGTCTACTAATTAAAGGACATCGTCAACCTGATTTTCTAAACAGCTAATTAAAATACGTAGCATCTAATACAGCCCTTCTTGCAAAATATGCTGTTGAAAATATACACCCCTGTAAAAGTTACTTGTTTTTCTATTCCCTTGTGTTTGCCTTTTTAATTGGTTTTTCAAGAAAGGAGGATCTGCTGAGCTGAGGTTCTATTTCTGTATCAAGTTCCATTGATGAACACCCTGTACTTACGCAGGAGCCCAATGATTTGTAGGTCTAAAAGGCTGTACAAGAAAACAATGACACTAATCCTAAGGGTTTGCTGTTGTTGCTTTGGGATGACAAGATTTTCTGGGGGGATTTAGATGTTACTTGAAACGGTAAAATTTTCAAAAAGAAATGTCATTTTTATAGTGATGAGGAATCTTTAACCTCCCATTTTATAGATTACATTAGTTTCTCAGGATTATCAGGCTTCTCTCTGATTCTGTAAGTAGCTTTTTCAAGAGAAAGAAGTTGTTGTAGATCTGTCAGCAAGGCTCTGGGAGTAGGAGGATGTTTGGATTTCCGGCATATTGCAACGCAGTTCTTGGCCACCAGCAAAGCTATGTGTGTGAATCTCATTTTATATCCGTTGTTTGCAATACCACAGATTTTAAGAGACATTTGAAATAGTCTCCGTACTCCTAATCACAAATCATTCCCCAAGAGAAGCTGAGAAGGCAAAATACATACCTTACAGGCCTCATGGCATGGCAGACTGTGGATGAAATGATGCTGTCATGGAAATAAAATAAAATCAGTCGTGTCTTGAACAATTAAGTCTGTATTCAAAGTTCTTAGCTCAAATCAGTTTATTATTTGATGTTTTTCTTTCCGGATTCTGACTGAACAGTATCTTCTATTACATACTTTTTCCATTAAAACATTATTAGCCAGCTAATCTTACTAGTCAATTTTTTATTCTATTTTAAAATGTGTATTTTTGCAGTGCAAAAATCTGAGACAGTAGATCACAAATTCTGTGACTGCTAATTATTTTCAAATCTGGAAGTATACAGAGCTCATCTTCAATTTGAAGTTGCATTATTTTTTTTCTCTAAAGATCACCCGAGTCACCACTCCCACCATTTCCCCTTCTTTTCTATCCTCGACCAGCACAAAGAAAACATCATTTTCCCAGCCAAGGCATATGCAACATCCTTCAGAATGCGTCAGAGCAGATCCTTCATCAGCCAGAGGAATCACTGTGTTAACAATATGAAGTCCTTCTTGCCCCAGGCAGCACAGAACAAGCTCGGGTTTATCTCACATTTTTAATTGTCCAGCAAAGAGGTGATTTTGTCAACACATCTTTTCCTTTCACGCACCTGTGCCCTTCTGTAGGCAAGCACCCAACTCCTCCCAAATTGTCATGAAAGCTCAGTGACCCACCAGAGGCTTCTGCAAGCTCTGCCTGGGACAATGACCTGAAACCAATCCCCTCCCTTGCAAATAATTCCAGAATGAAATGTACCTGAGAGCTGCATTGACAATGACTTGGGAGGGCAAAATACATTTTAGTCTTCTACAATCCTCTGTATTCTGCAGTGCTAACAGGAGTTAAAACCTGGTTTAGTCATTAAAGTAATCAGATATGAATCAAAGAAACCTCAGGAGATGCTGTTGTTGAAAAAGCAGATATTATTTTCACACAAACAAGCATTTTCCTCATCCTAACTTCATCTTAATGGGTATATATCTTTAATAAACAAACCCATTATTTTGAATTGTATCAAGAAATTTTCATCTGTAATACTCCTCAAACAAAAAAATACTAAAATGCTAAAAGCATTTTGTTTTTTTAATACACATCTAGCATGTTTATTGCCATAATGCAATACTGAAAATGCCAAAAAAGTGAATCAGTGATCTATAATTTTAAAATGCCAGTGATTTCCCAGCTGTCACTGATCTTGGAAAATTTCCCCAGTAGCATGTGGAAATCAATAACTGTTTACAGACTTTTTAGTTCCAGTTGTAGGGAGTGTATCACTATGGACTATGTCAAATCTCTTAGCTGTGAAGTGAAAGGCTGATTTCACACTTCAATCTCCCCAAAAGCCCATAATGCTAAAGAAAGGCAAGAATGATGATCCATGGAACCACTGCTTGTCCTCTGGGACAATAACGGAGCAAGTCTGCAGGAGCCATGCCTGCAGAAGAAAGAAAGGCGATGAGAAGCAGTATCCAGCATGGATTCTCCAAGGTTTGCCACACTTGAGCAAGTCTAACAACCTTCTGAGATGAAATGGCAAGACATGCAGACAAAGGCAGAGCCGTAGATGTTGCCTACCTTGACTTCAGGAGGGCTTTCAGCACAGTCTCCCACAGCACACTTGTATCCAAACTGGAATGTTATAGTGTGGATGGGCAGACTGCTGAAAGGGTGAAAATCTACCTTGACAGGCCCAAGGGGTTAAAGAGTCACACTGCATCTGACAGCAGTTACCAGTGGCGTCCCTTGAAAGTTCACCCTTAGACCTACACCAAGGAATATCTTTATTAGTAGCCTGGAGAACACAGAGAACATCTTTTTTTATTCCCCTTTATTCTTTGGAGATATTTAAGCACTGGAACACATTGCTCAGAGAGGTTGGGGAATCTCCATCCTTGCAGGTTTTCAAAACTTCATTGCATCAAGCCCTAAACCAACTGATGTGATTTCGGTGTTGACCCTGATGTAAGCAGGAGTTTGCACTAGAAAATCTCCTAAGGTCCCTTCCAGTTGAATTGATTCCATGAGTCCCAGTAAGAGTCTTTTCAAAGTCAGACTTTGCCATCCATCCTATCCATAGGGTTGTCCCTATACAGGGGTAGTTCTGGGCTGATATAGAAAATAAGTAAATTAACAAGTCCTTCTTATCCTTGTAGCTCAGCAGCAGGTTTAAGATCAATATCTTGTGCATGCTGATCCCAAATTCCATGGCAACCTTAATGTATCCCATTACCAGAAAATACCCTTCACTCACTATTTTTCTCTCCTTGTACACATACTTATATGAAAGGGGATAAAGAATCTGGTTCACAGAACCTTTCTCCTCTGAATCCAGATGATTTTCTATTTGATATTTTTTCAAAAAAGGTACTGAAAAAGAATTTTATTTTTTTATGTCTCCTTAAAGCTTATTTATCAACGTTTTTAGTTATGGCAGATCAATTTTTTTCTATGCTCATCCATTCTCAGTCTTTTACTTTGTCTAATTTTTCATCAGCTGAATCTTTTCCTTGCATAACAGAAATATGAGCTACGGTTTCACAGACATTGCTGTGTCCACAACTCTGAACATCAGTTGGGTAAGATGCAAATTGGTAACAAGGCATAGTGTATCCCAACATTGTAAAGAAATTGAATTTTGAACTGTTCTCCTGAAAAACAAAATTTAATTACATTATTTAGTGAAGTCAGACATACTGGAACTAGTGTCCCTTCCCACCTTAGGTTTCATCTCCTCATGGTTACACTCACACTGTAAACTCCCTGGTTGGCAAATAAGACATTGCAGGCAATCCTCAAAATGAACAATAACACTGCAGCGTAGTCATTTGTTACAGGACTGCACATTGTAAATGTGACAGTATTTAGCAAATAGTAGAATTGTATACTGGAAATGAACCATATATTTTCCCTCTAATTTCTTTAGTAAGAGTGGTTAAACACATTAAATTGTGCAGTTTCACATCCAAGGTCTTATTTTCAGCATTATGAAAGACTGAAAGTATTTAAACCTTCTCTGTGTGTATCATGAAGATAAAATCCAAACTGTAAGGAAAACTTACAAACATACAAAATTTATGGCCACTGGAATTCTCCAAATTTGTGCAATTAAAGCAGCACAAAAAGCAGCATAAAATGGAATTTCTAAGATATTATAAATATACAAAATGATTAAGCAACTACAGCATGCATTGGTGGCTTTGCCACGAACTGAAGCCAAAGACCAACTTCTTTTAATCCCATGAGAAATCCAACACTGTTCCTGAGGTGCAGTACTGTGTATATCAACAGAGGAAGCAGTTTAAACCTATTCAAACCTGAAAAACATCTTAAAAGTCCAGAAAGGTAATAGACAAACAACGTATTCTTCTTCATCGTTGTTTTTACTCCTGGCTGTGCAAATTAGAAGTAGAAAGTTGGGATAGTAGTGAAAGACTCACCAAAATACATTTCAAAAAGAAAAAATATTTAAATTGGTATAAAAAAAATCAATAATGTTATACTGAGAGTGGAAGGCAGAGTGAATATGAAGTCATGTGGCTCTGAGGCCTGATCTTTTAAGCTGCTCCTAATTAAATGCAGCTTTCTCTTACTGGATGTTAAGAGCTTTCCAGGTTACTGCCCATATTAAATGAAAATTAGATACTTATGTGTATGAATGTTGCAAAGTTGACTGAAAAGAGATAATGTGTGAAGACTGTGTCAAAAAATAATATTGCTGATTCATTCTAATGTGCTCAGACATTGCTGAACTCGGATCGCCCATCAGTACCTCATAGTATGGGTCGTAATCCTCAGCAGATAAACGCTTAATCCAAGATAAATCGTAATAAATCCAAATGAGATTAGGCCTTAACCAAAATATCCACCGAGTGGTGCTGGATAAAAAAACCTGTTTGAGTGACTGTGATACATCAGTGGGAGTCACTGACTGAATTCTGTAGAACTGCAGAGAAAGTGCAATAATAGTTAAAAGCAAAGCAGCACTGCACTGATCAGCACCACTCGGGGGCTGGTGTTGAGTGTTCACCAGCCTCCCTTCTTAACAATATTCTTCTGATCTGTGAGGCTTCATGGTTTACATCAGTGTTCTGTCAAAGTCACCTACTTTCTGAAACAAATGTTTTATTTATCCCCCTCCTTCCCACTCCTACTATTCTGAATCCGAATAAAACCTGCAGGAGCCTTAAGGCTAAATCATTCAGCAGGATCCACTGGCATTTTCATCCCCTCTGTGTTCGGTACCTTATGATATCAGGATGACACGTTAAGTATTTACAGTAAAGGACATCTTTTCATAGTATCTTAAAAAATCAAAAAGCCACATTCACTAAATTCGCAGTGTTGTGACTGACTAAATGCATTATGGTTAGAGCTGGACAACAATATAAGAAAAACTGCTGCTAAAATCTCAGATTGCTATGAAAGTCTAGACTCTTTACCTGGAAGAAATTTCACCCACCTTTACTTATGACACAAATATAACCTCTCAACCTGCCAGCTGTAAACAAAAAGCTGCTGCCTTGAAGCAGAAACATTTCAGCTACATTTTAATGGTTTTTCTTTCTGTAATAATAAAACCTACAAGAAATTCTATTCTAAAAAAATTGTGTTGCCTTACATTCAACAATTTAGAGAAAAAAATCACTACAAGAAATCACTGCTTAATAAATTGTAACCTGAATTAAATTACAGTTTGTGAATGAAGCTGCCCATGTAAGTGTGAGTTCCATTAGCATTACTGAGCATACTTGGAGTCGTGATCCAGGGACAGTGGCTTCATGGGAGTTTTTGACTGTGGGAAGAATTAAAGTTTGTATCTGATGTCCTGAAAGCCTTTGATGTGTTTATAGCTTTTATAGGTCACTTGAAAAGATAAGCTTTGTAATGGCTTTCTACACTTACCCTGGAAAAGCACTTACACACTCTTTCCATTGCTTAAAATACAGAACTATTTACTTCTGACAACATTTGCTATTTGTTCTAAACACCGTGGTGTGCATTACCCAGGTATTGATTCAAAATGCATCTTCTGAATGGGCAATTTCATCAGCGAGCTCTGACAGCACAGCGAAGCCACCAGATGTTGTCACCGTCTGACTTTAGCTGGTCCCGCTGTTTCATCATCAGGCAATGAGAGCACAGCCCTGCCTTAGGTGTTTATGGGTTTAGCAGCGACCTGGGAAAGCCTCTTCTCACTGGCAACTCCCCCTCCATTCAGCCCGGGTTTCCAAACTGCAGCAGATCGGATTGTTGGTTGTTGGGATTAGACAAAGAAACGGGGCGGAGTGTGGGAGGAGCAACTTGAGTGAGATGCTCAGGTAGAGACAGACGCACACAAACCACCACAGGTGATTTGCAGTGCATGTGTACAATGAGCACTCACATCCTCTGAGTTGAGACTTCACATCACTTTCACTGCCTACAACATAGGACTTGTTTATCTGACGGAGAAATGTAAGTTCTTATTTTAGAAGGAGTTTTTGTTGTTGGTTCTGCCATGTGACTAAGAAATGAAGTAACACGAAAATGAACTAAATCTTTTACTTTGTGTAGTACATCTCTAAATTGTGCATTAGCAGCAATGAGTTGTAAGAAACATTCACAGTTCCTCATATTTGAGCAGGTCTACCTAGAATTCTCTTTTCAGAATAACTATATTGGGCTTTACACTTCTCAAGGGTACAGAAGACTTTCTTATAACTATTTTTAGTTATATTTTTAAAGAGCAGTTAGGAATATCATCTGAAACTTGTATCATCAAGCAAATGCCACAGAGTGATCAGTGCAGACCTTTCGCTATGTCTGTGGAGAAATATTTGCACTGTAACCAAATCCAGTAGGAACTATAAAATGGTAGATGCGAGTTTTTGAAGTATTAAGTAGAATTTTTATTTTTTTCCCCCCAAAGACCTTAAAAATCTAGGCAAATAACTAAAATATTGAATACTGCAGACTTGGTATGCAGCAAATAAAAAAAGCTATGTAAGAGATGTCATTTTCTTTAGGTACAGAACTCAAAGTGAACTGCTTTTAGAAAAGCTGTTGTCTAACGGAGTGATACCTTATCATTTAATGGACCGATGCCCTTTTCCTGACTGTTGTTTGCAGCTGGACTCCTCAGTTTTTTAAGAATATCAATACCTCTTCAAAAGAAAGTTGTGGAGGCTTTAAGTCAGGAAGGATTTCCATCATTCTGTCAAAATAAACAGAAGGGAAAGACCCAGTGCACCTACAAGTACAGCAACACTACTTTGGGTTGGAGAGAAGTATTGAGACCAGTATGCTGTTTAGAGCCAGATGATTTTTAATGGAAGAATAAGAGTGCACTGAGAAAGTCAAATTTGTTTACAGGGGAAAAAAAAGAATCTTACTTTTGCTTTGTCTGGATTTCTGACAATGACATTTCATATCTCCTCTTGTTAGAATAATTTATGTATTTTAGGGGATGCCTGCACAGAGCAGATGACGGGTCCCTTCCCTATGTGATAGTGTGTCTCTAAAACAAGAGGATTTGGACCAAACTAATAGACAGATGAAGCCAAACAAACAAATTGCTGCTATGCTAATTTCTGAAACAGATGGCTCTGATCCAGCATTTGCTGGGAAATGCAATTCCTTGTCAATCTAACACAGAATCATGTATGTCTCTCTGTCATCCTGTATGTATACCATATAGGAAAAAATCTGGCTCAGGATACTCCACCCACAGCTAAATTTATACACAAAGAACTGAAAATCAAAGTGCATAAACAAGTACAAATTCTGCCATCCGTACTGGAAGCAGAGATTGGACCTTGTTTTGAAGTTCCAGGTACAGATCTTCAAAAGGCCTGAGTTGTTCAGTCTTTCCTCACTTTGTGTTAGAAATACCCTTGAAATTAATGCAAGTTGTATACATGGCTTGCAGCACTAGAGCAAACCAGGCAGGCCATCCTATAAACTTCTAATTTTCTAGACTCAAGGTATTTTATTTAAATGCTTGAATGTTTGTTACTTTCAACCAAGCTCCCTGAAAAAAAAAAGTCAGTAAAAATGTAAATAATTTTGCACCCATGTTCCTGGCCAAACCACAGCTGAGCTCTGGTCTAACTGAGCTCCCTTGGTGTCTGTCTTCACTGTTGGTGCATCTGCAGCCAAATTTAGCCTAATGCTAAGAATGACCTACACAGCAAGGAAACAAACTGTTTGAAAAAATATAGGACAAAGCTTATGTCTAAGGGAAAGCTTCCCACAACGTTCTATTTGTGGCACACGATCATACATTTGTGTCACATCATCTTATCCTTTCCTTGAGCACCGACTGAAAAAAAAAAGAGGCTTTTTAACCTACTCAAAATCCTCCTTCGTACATCTTTACGGGAGAGGGTCACGGACAAAGGGAAGCACCTCCCAGTTTCCGTTCCAAGCATCCGGAGGCACCTGTGAGGGAGCGCAGCTGTGGGGACCCCCTGGGTACGTTACCGAGCTGCTCCCCCGACCCACACAGGTGCCCTCTCCCGCACCCCGCGAACCCCGCACAGATGTTGCCGGCCCCATTGGCCATAAGAACCCTCCCGGACCCACCTCCCGCAGCCACTCGAGCTCCAAGATGGCGGCAGTGCCGCCTCACGCCGCCCCGTAAGCGCCGCGCGGGAGACCCCGTAGCCGCCGCCGTCGCCGCCACGTGCTCGCCGCGCGCGGGCTCGTTCCTCGTGGCGCCCCCCCGGCGGAGGATGCGCGAGCGGGACGCGGTGAGGAACCGACACCCCCCGGAGCGGGGCCGGGCCCGGGGGGGGCACGGGGGGGGCACGGCCGCGGGCAGAGCGGCGGGCGGGCGGCGCGGGTGCCTTCTTCCGCGTTCCGCCTCTTCCCCGTCGGTCAGCGCTGCCGCGGCGCGGAGGTGAAGGTGGCGGGGTGGGGGAAGACACACGCGCACACACACCCGCGCGTCCCCTGCTTCGGGCGGAGAATCCGCGCTCGGGGCGTCGAGCGCCGCCGGGAGCGGGAGCCGGTGCCCGGCGGGAGCGGGGCCGCGCGCGGAGCGGTTCGGGTGATGCGTTCCTTTTTTCCTTTTTTTTTTTTTTAATAAGAAAAAAGTGCTTTTGCATGGTGGTTCCTAAACTAGCGTTTTTAGACGGAAAATGTGTCCACCGGAGCTTTGCGGGGTGGTGGCGGCCGGGGGCGTATCGCGCGTGCGAGACCCGGGCGGGACCGGCGAGATCCGCCGGGGCCGAGACCCTGCGGGTGCCTTGTCCTCCTTTCCCTACCTGTGCCCCTGCCAGGGCATGTCCTCCTTTCCCTACCTGTGCCCCTGCCAGGGCATGTCCTCCTTTCCCTACCTGTGCCCCTGCCAGGGCATCTCCTCCTTTCCCTACCTGTGCCCCTGCCAGGGCATCTCCTCCTTTCCCTACCTGTGCCCCTGCCAGGGCATCTCCTCCTTTCCCTACCTGTGCCCCTGCCAGGGCATCTCCCCCTTTCCCTACCTGTGCCCCTGCCAGGGCATCTACAGCTTCCAGGCTCAACCCAGTTTACAGTGATTAGCACAGTTAAGGTGTTTTTAATTAAAGTCTTTACCCATGACTTGTGTAGTTTTAATTGCCTAATACTTAACTCTGGAAGTTGGTGCTGGTTTTGTGCTGGTAGCTTTTTTTTCCTGCAGCGGACTGATGGTGTGAGGTGTTCCCACATATAAAAAGGTTAGCTTGGATGTAGTTGAGACTTCTGTTCCTTTATTATTCCATATAAAAAACTCTATTTCCAAAGTAAGTTCTGTCAGTGAACACGTGTGTTAATAAGTTTTCCTAAATGTTTTCCTTGAGTTCTTTTCAAGTGTGATGGCAGGCCTTGAATAAAGCTGACACTGGTTGTGGAGGCCTTAAGACAGTAAGGCTGCCTTTGGTGATAAATCATCTTTTAAATTTCACCAAAGCAAGAGTAAGACATAATCGTGTATTATTACTTTTTCAATTTGTTTATTCGTTCTTAAGCAGGTCTCCCACTGACTTGTTTGGAAGGCCATTGTACACAATGGCACCCTCAGTGCCATTTAAGACTTTTATTGTCTCTCTGTATTAATAGAAAGCCACTTACTACTACTTAACAGGTACGTTTGAGGCTTATTTTTGTGCCAACACTTGGCCTTCTCTTGTAAAAAGGGCCAGGGAGAGCACTTGAGAATTGTTTTAATAAAAACAAAGCAGTAGTTCCCCCCTTTTTAAAATTAAAAGTTCCAGAACAATTTTGGAAACTTTAAACATGAAAGTTCTAGTGGTTGAGAAGCAGAACCTGCAACACGTTCGAAGCAAAAATGAAATTGATAGTCTAATTTTACTATCCACACTGAGTGACATCTGAAATAGTAAGGAAGCCTAAATGATGAAAAGTAAATTAGATTTTTAAATTAGGTAATGTTTGAAGATGTTAGAGTATTACTACATTTATTTCCTTGTTAATATTCTGAGATGTTTTAGGAAAAAGTAAGGAAAGATAAATCATACCAAAATAATTTAAATGACACTTAAAAAAAATCAATTACAATGTGAGGCTTATTGCTATGCAGAAGAAGAAGCCTTTGCACAGAAATAAGCCTTTTACTTAATTCCACCTATCGAACAGAAAAATACAGACTAGGGAGAAAGTGCTCGTCTACCTTTGGCAATAGAGGAGCCTGGGAATAGTCTGAGGAAATGGAGATTCCGATCTATGAGATACCTGGCACAGGCATGTATGTTTTTATCTCAATTTTAAAGGGGGTTTGAAACTTTTTTTAGCCATGTAGAGGAAGGACTCTTTATTTTTGTCTCAGTGCAAAGAAGGAAACGCCTCAAACTTAAAAGTTTAGTGACTTCCAAGGAAGATGTGTGCTATGGTGTTAGTAAAGACAAGGTTGCTTTACTAGTTCAGAATGCCCTGGTTTTGTGGAGAGGGAAAAAGGGGACACCCTACAGCCATAATAGTCTGAAAGCTACGGTTAGGACAGCAGTTGCCTGGAACTTTAAATGTGGAGTGAGGGAAGATATTGTGGTGAGCAGCCAGCTCTTCCTGGGTACTTCAAGGGTTACTTTGGGCTGATGTGTAGTGGTGCGCCAGAGCAGAACTTTAAGAAGCCATCGATTTCTGTTAGATGTAAGAGTATTTTAAAAAGTAGAATTCTGCTTCCATGTTGCTGCAGAAACAACTTTCTGGAAGGTGGATCCTGCTCAGTCTGATAAGCAGAAAGAGTTAACATGTATCTCAATAGAGTGGTGGGTATAGTGCCAACACTGTAGGGGAGAGGTAGAAGTCGTTAATTGCAAATCATTTTGGTGTTTGCATTCTGGGATTGTGGATGGGAATTCCCTTTTTTACCCATTTTTATTTTGCCTAGGTGTACTTGGGATTTTTACAGCTGGGAGTCAGCAACTTTTTATTAATTTTCTAGAAATAGATATGTAGCAAATAACTTCTTAAATAACTCCAGATTGTGTCAGCATTTTTCTTTACTTGTTTCTATCAGCATTAACTAAGTGTTACTGTTCAAATCAGCATGGTAACAGTTTTGAAGAATGGCAAAAGTAATGAGAATGGATGTATTTTCATGAAAGGGTGGTATATAAGAGGAAAGAAGTAAAACCTTAATATTGCCAGTTAGATTCCTATTATCTGTAACGGTTTTTTGGCCTTAAGGGAAGTTGATACCTAACAGTAAAATCTGTGTGAAGCAGCATCATGTTCATATGCTGGTCTGGCTGCCTGGATAAAAGAAAAACATGTGGAGTGTAGCATTATTGATGTGGCAATTGTATCAGGATTCATTTGTGGTAACTGTGGATTTTTTCTGGATGAATAGGGGGAGTAGAATAATTATAATTCTGGCCCTGCAAGAATTATACTGACCTAGGCAGAAAAGAGTGTGTCTCAAAACTAATGACAAAATATGCCAGACATACAAAGTGTAATCTCTAGGGTATTTTCTTCACTTTTGCTTAGTTTTTAAAGAAATTGGATGGAAAAATCCTGCATTCGAACAACAGAGGAGTGCAGACAAGATGCAGAATTAAAGAGCAAGCTGAAAAATCATGACTAAACTCAATAACA